CTTTCCCTCTTCTCTCACTAGAAGGTAGTTAACCTTCTTTGTGAGGACACATGTTGCAGGCATGCCAGCTATTTTAGCATTCCTCTGTTTGTTTGGGTTTTTCTTCCCTGCACTAGGAGGCGGACAGACTCAGTCATCAGAACCACCCAGCACTGTGGTGTCACACGTCAGGGTTTCCCTCAGCGAGGCTGGCAACCGAAGCTACCAGACAACTGCATCTGCTGTCAATGGTATGAATGGCAGCAGCACAGTAACATCACAATTAAATGCCAGCGGTTCAGGCTCACCAGAACTCCCAGCTCCTACCACTGTTGGCTTTTTGAGCATTACAGCAGGTCCACAGACTACCATCAGCCGAAATGTTGACAACCTGACTGCAAGTTCAGTGGAAGGAAACCAATCCAGTTATGCAGATGCTGTGACAACCACGTCTTGGAACTCCAGCTCCAACTTCATGCCTACAGATCCCTTTCAGTCAAAGGAGACACAAGATAAGACAGGTAAGTAACCACCCAGTCATTTTCCATGGCTTATAGTGTAACTCTAAAGCAGCCTGGGAAGAATGCCTACCACTGCTTCTTATGTGGAACATCTGGGAAGCTTCTGTGGACACAGTACCGGATCCCACATTTGTTAAAATGAAAAAATCTGGAAGTAAATGTATACTGCTTGAACTAGAACCCAAATTCTTAGACCCATTACCAGACATCATTGTCTTGGGCAGTCTTTAAAACCTTCCCTCCTTTTAAATTTCGAACAAAAAATACAATAACAGCATTATTTATTTACATCATCTTTATTTGCTTCATTTATCATTAAGCCTTTCTCATTGAGACACAAGGCAGACTGCAGAAAATCTAATAGTCCAGTATAATACATACAGCAAACAATGCAATAAAGTATAATGATATAAAAGTGTAACATATTCAAAAAATTGGAATGTGTAATTAGAGAACAGTGAAATAAAGCCAATACAATACATCCAATGAACAATGGACCATGAAGGGGAGGAATGAGAAAACTGCCTAAAATCTTCAGAGATAATTAAAATTTACAACCCTGTTCCCTCTGTAAAAATGCCCTCTTGAACAGTTCTACTTTCCATGTTTTGTGAAATCATAGAAGAGTGGGAGCCTTTATGACCTCATCAGGCAGGAGAGCTACAGCAGCATCAGGTAGATGCTGGGTGTCATCAGTCTATTGATGACACCCTGCTCCAGATTATGGATGATAAAGACTGAACAGTAAGAGAGGGAAAATTAAGCCTTGTGGAACGCCATAGAGCAAGTCCCACACCAACAACTGATCTCCAGCCACAACTCTGAGTCCTCGCCATAAGGAATCACTTAAATCTTTCTAGGGCACATCGCTTGATACTGACACCTGCCTCCAGGCATCTCTGCAGGATGACATGGCCCACCATAACAAATGCTGCTTATAGATCCAATGACAGCAGCAAGGAAGTGCCACCTTTGTCTGCATTCGAATGGAGATCTGCTTAAGCCATCAAGGCTGTCTCTGTCCTGTTGCCCTGCCTGAAACTCAACTGAAAGAGGTTTAGAGCAGAAGTGTTATTCAGAAAGACCTGGAGATGCTACTCAAGTACAAGCACAATACCTTTATTGGCACAGTGAATTTAACATGACATGAGATGCTACCAGAGATCATTTCGGGGGGGATCGCGGGGGAACACAGTTCCCCCGGGTGAGGTACGGGGGGCAGGGTACATGACAAAGCCCCACCCCCTGCTTCCGGCCGCCCTGCTTCCGGCCCTCATTCAGCCAGGAGGAGGCAGGAGAAGAGGGAGGGTAAGTTGCTTCCTCCCTGCCTCTCCCCACGCTTGCCTGCCTGGGGCCAGGGAGGGCCTTTGCGTGGCTTCCTTGCACTCCCGCCGACCTTGCAGGTCCACTGCTGGGCCCCTCATGGGGCTCGGCTGTGGAGCTGCAAGGCCGGCGGTAGCGTCTGGGACCGTTGGGGACGGGGTGTGTGGCCTTATGGCACACTTCCGGTGATGTCAGGGGGTGTGGCATATGCTAATGAGTTATGCTAATGAGTTCCCCTAGCTCTTTTTCTACGAAATGACCCCTGGATGCTACGCTGTCAGCTGTCTTGCCCAGAAAGGGCAGATGAGAGACCAGACAATAATTGGCCACATCATTCCTTTCCAGCAATAGTTTTTACAGGAACATGTGAATAGCTGCATCCTTTAACAGTTACATAGCATTGTATAATTTTATAGTGCTTTGTTTTACTATACTCTCCTGTAGTGGAACTTTAAAACCTTTTGAAAATACTGTTATGGTAATAACATGATGCTGGGAAGGCAGGCAGTGCAGGGACATGCCATGCAGTGAACAGGGCAAGGAAAATCAGGCACCTCGGCAGTTGATTTATTCCATATAATTTTTATTACCTTATTCCATAAAGCCTTATTACATGTAACACTGCGGCATTTTAAAGCTAAATAATAATGAAGTCTTATGTGTCTGTTCTGCTCTTTAGGAACACTGGTCCTTTATCTTAAGTGATTTACACCTGACTTCCTCCAAAACGTATCTCAAGTAATATGCAGTGGAACTTTGACAAACTTATTTTTCGTAATTACAATTATAATTTTTGAAGAACTTCTATGAAAAGGCATCTTAACATTTTTATAATACTTAAGACAAAACTGACCAGAAAAGAAGAGAATTGAGGATACAAGATCGCTTCCAAAAAAGAAAAGTAAATTCATCCTAGTACTGATACTCTGTTATCTTAAAGAGTGAGAGCTGCTGTACAACTTTTTCTTGCCCAAGGTGGGGCCCAGGGCCACCACACCCTCCAGATTCTCCTTTCTGTTAGGTATGCCTCAGAAAGGGTCTCAAAATTCAGAGAAGGGTTGGCAACCAGTGTGGTATAGTGGTTAAGAGTTGCGGACTCTAATCTGGAGAACCGGGTTTGATTTCCTACTTCTCCATATGAAGCCTGCTGGGTGACCTTGGGCCAGTCACAGTTTCTCTCAGAACTCTCTCAGCCCATCTACCTCACAAGGTGCCTGTTGTGAAGAAAGGAAGGGAAAGTGATTGTAAGCCCCTTTTGAGACTCCTTAGGGTAGAGAAAGGAGCTGCGGTGGCTCAAGTGGTTAAGACACTGAACAGGCTGTGGAAGGTCAGTAGTTCAGCAGTTCGAGACCCGGGTGCTGCAAGACGGAGTGAGCTCCCCGTCTCTAGTTCCAGCTCCTGCCAACCTAGCAGTTCGAAAGCAAGAAATTGCAAGTAGATAAATAGGTACCACTTTGGTGGGAAGGTAACAGCGTTCCGTGCACCTTGGTGTTTAGTCATGCTGGCCACATGACCACGGAAATGTCTTCAGACAGCGCTGGCTCTTCAGCTTTTGAAACGGAGATGAGTACCGCAACCCTAGAGTCGGATTCGACTGGCTTTCGAGCAAGGGAACCTTTACCTTTTTAGGGTAGAGAAAAGTGGGGTCTAAAAACCAAATCTTCTTCTCTGACCAGCAACCTCTCCCTTACTGACATAGGATAGATTTCATCCTTCCTCCCTAGCCTTCTCTGAGCTGACCTAATAAAGTCTTTTCTGGTGGGGGGGTAAGCTGACCCTGGACTCCTGCACTGCCCTCTCTTCAAGTTCAGGCCTGTGGTGATCAAAGGGAATCTAGGTCACTGGCTTCCCTGGCTGGGCCCTCTCTTCTCCTGCCCTGCCTTCCCCTGAAGTAAGGCTGCTCTGCCTGCCTATACAGGCCCCAGTTGCTGCTGGCCTCCTACTTTGGCATGTTCCCAGGTGCCACTGGCTGCCTGAGCCCTACCTCCTGAGGCATGCATTGGGGCTGCTTGTACATTTCTGGGTGTGGCCTTGTCTTTGCTACTTTCCCCACAACCTCTTGTTGGATTGCTTGCCTCATTGGTGCCTTCACAAGGCTGTCCCCTGCTGGAATCTCCTCTGGAGCAGGTGAGTGCAGGGGTGGGGCAACCCCCCCCCCCATAGCTACATATGGAACCTCTTTCTGTTACCATTAACTGGAGCTCAAGACACACACTACTGCATATATAACTGGATCTTTGGTAAGCAAAAAGAATGCCATTCACAGCTCCCCCCAACCCACCCACCCTTCATTGCTATGTAAGTAAGAACTACTTTTGAGCTGTCTCCCAAGAATTCTTGAGGGGCTTAACATACAATGAAGCCCTCTTCAGCATAAAAAGCTTAGTCCTTTCTTATTGGGCATAAACACTAAGCCAAGGAGAGAATGTGTCTGAGAGCCTCTTTGGAAAGGGAAAGGTTGAATGAGCCTTGGCAGTCGTGTTAAATAAGGCAGCAACTGTACCATTGCATTAGATTCTGCACCCCTTAAATAGAAACAGAAGTCATTATGAGAAGTCATCATGATCAGCTAGTATCAAAGGATGACAATAGCTAGGTTAGTATGCTGCATCGTTGCTGATGACCAGCAGGAAATATTGCATATTGACTAGGGATGGGCATGAACCACATTTCTGTGGTTCGGTTCATTGCTGAACCACAAACCAATACACTGGTTCTAATCGGTTCATGAGCCATTTAAAGTTTAAGCCCCTGCTTTCTGCTCCTCACAGCTTTTCACATGGAGCAGAAAGCAGGGGTTTAAATGGTTGGGAGCCATTTAAACAAAACAGCTGAGTGGTGGGTAGTTCCCGGCAGCTTTTTGTGGGGAGCAGAAAGCAGTGGTGTAAATGGCTCCCAGTTGTTTTTCGTGAATAGCACAAATTTGCTGTTCATGAACTTGCGTGAACTGCATCAATATTCGTGAAAGTTTGTGGTGATTCTTTAGTTCACAAACATTGCTTCATGAACTGGCCAAAATTAATAATGAACTTTAGTTTGTCAGCTAGTTTGTGCCCATTCCCTGATACTGACATCCTAGGTGTCCATAGAAACATAGCTGTTAATCTTTACGAACATTAATTTTAAACATTTGTGAATAAAAGACAATTTCCCTGATGGAGCTTACTGGTGGCAATGAAAGGGAAAGCAGCATTAGAAACCCATTATGTAAAACAGTGCATTTACTCATGATGTAAAGTACATACTGATGGAGGCATTGATCTGGACAGCAGTCTAATGTGTTTGTGCAGGCAATAGAGAGCTGATCCTGGTGTGTTCCAAAAGATGCCTCTAGGTCACACACAGTGGGGGCTTGCCTGTGAACCTGCTAGGCCAGTATGGGGTGGGTTCATCTCCTAACTGGAGTCCCCAGATAAAAAAGAAGGGATGATCTCTAATTTCAGCCAGGACCTCCTCTCTCCCAATTATAGCCTTTCTTCTTCCTGAGTGCAGGGCAAGCTCAGTTCATCCCAGTAGTCTAGATTTCCATACTAAGATTTCTAATTTGTACAAACAGAAAGTTCATCTTCAAATGTCTGAATAAATTATTCACTATTCTGTTTGCATTGAACCAGCAAAATACAGAGAATTAACAACAGAGCACTTTCTCTATGCAACTCTGCTCGTCCTCCACCACAAAAAATGTTACAAAATCCTCACCAATCTAGTCAATAACAATGCTTGGTGAGCATGTATGTCTCACCCAGCAATACACATTTGCTTTGCAATTTGAGGTACCTTTGATTTTGGAGCCTGCTTTGCATATATGATAGAACTGTATTTAAGTAAGAGATAAATTGGCTATACCAGACTTTGCTCCTATTGATTGCTGAGCTGGAGTGAGCTAGGACCCTTTCTTTTAATTCACTTTTGGATCTCTCTCTGCAGGGACAACAGCTACCCCTTGGCCAAAATCTTCCACATTCAGCACCTTGGTCACTACAAAAAGGATACTTGAAACCATGCCAGCCACAGACCATGAAGCTATCACAGAGCATAGCACCGATGAATCTACATCGCCTCCAAGTTTTACTGACATTGATGGAAGTGTGCTTACACTGGCTGCAGCAACCTCTGAGGCTGCCTCCTCCACATTCAGGCCTCACGGAACCACACCAATGGAAATGAAGAGACTAACTGATCATGTGCAGGAGAAGACATCTGGATTACATATGGAAGATTATGATGAAAGTACATACTAGGGCTTGCTGTTATCCCCATACCAAGGACAACAGAAACAGTGGGAGGAGACTAGATATATGTTCTTGGGGGATCAGGGAAACATGTATGCATAAGCTCTTGTGCCAGAACAAGTTTGAGCTTAGAAGTGATAGGGTGGTGTTCAGATTTATCATCTTGTATTCGTTGACTCATGAGTTTCTTCTTTTCATCTCTTCAGATCTGCCTAGTATACCAACAGATGGCCCTATAGGTGGGGACCCCTTGGTGATTGCTGTCATCTTTATTTTCACCGTGACAGTAGGGATCCTGGCTCTGATGGGTTTCTTAAGGTACCGTCAGCGCAACAATCGGCTACAGTTCCGGCGCCTCCAAGACTTGCCTATGGTGAGTGCCCGCCATTAGTCCCTCTGCTTGAGCTCCATCCCTGACTTCACTGATTCCTCTCTTCAGTCCTGTGCTTTCTTACTATCACCTTAACAGTCCTTTGCTGGGGCTCGGGGAGAGCATTTTAAGGCATTGTTTCAAGATCATGATCAGAATGCATGTATGGAAAGGAGGTGAGATATGTATTGCAGCCAGCCCCGACTTGGGGAATGTTCAAGCATAAGCTTTAGTGTGAATAGTGGCTTCAATTATGTCCTTGGAGTTAAGGCTACGAAGGGGATTCAGTGCTTCTCAGAAACTCTTTTAGACCATTTAAGAAAGACTGTAAGTTGGCATAATGTATTTCTTTTCCAGCAGTGGTGGGTAGCAGTTTGGGATCCCATTCCAAAGGGTCCTGAGCTATGGATCATATCATTAGGAAAACTGGTCTCATCTGAAGCTCATCCATCTCTTTCAATGATGATAATTCTTCGACATGTCCAGGACTTTAGATTACTTCTGGATGCTTGCCTGTGAATGATAGGTGGCAGTATCAAAATGGATGGGCACTTGTGCACTGCTTCCTTTACTCGATGCCCTTTACTAACTCTTCTTTTTGATTTCAGGATGACATGATGGAGGATACACCTCTTTCCCTGTACAGCTACTAGGGAAGACCATTTAGCATCCTGATTGGGACAAACCAAGGAAGGCACAATGCCTGCAAAGATTCTGACTGGGCAGATGATTCCCTGAAAGATATACGGGGCTGCTGTATTGATTTGCACATGACTATGAAGTTGTGACTCCAATGACATTTTTTCTTAGTGCTCGTTGTGAGAACTGGAGCCAGCCTGACCCAGGATTTTCCTCTGGTACCTCTCTACTCTGGGCTCAGCAGGAGAGTGGGTGCACTAACTCCTATTAACAATGCCAAGCGAAGCTTTTCCTGGACTTCTGAGAGCTGCACTAAAGGACTCTTGTATAAGAAATGGGAAGAAAGCCTAGCACAAGCCATATTTAAGAATGGAAGTGCAAACCATGCCATGATATGGAGACCCAGTTGGCTCCCTCTGAGTTCTGTTTTAAGAAATTGTTTTTGCACTTCTGTTTACTTCCTTCCTTCCTTTTAGTAGTAGGATTTAGTGATTACAGAAGGAATACAGGGAGTAGTTGATTCCTTGCACTCCTTGCTAGCCAAAAAGTAGTCTTGCTACTGATGAAGAAGCACACCCTTTATTGCTGTTACATTGTTTTCAGGAAGAGAGAATGCAGTTGTGATTTGAATGTGCTTGATGTTTGTTAGCTAGTATCACGGTTGTTATAGTCCTGGTGCCTGAAAAGGGTTTTTGTTATGGATGTGACAGTTGTGTCCTCTTAAAGCCTTTGTTCTCCATGTACCTCCTTGTTACTTCCTTACCAGTTAGGAACCTTAGAACTGCTTTGTGCCTTGTCTGCAGAATGATGCACATATTATTGCACATAGGTTGGGTCCAAAGGTTGCCTTTTGTGAGCAAATAATGGAGGACACGGGAAGGACCCCTTTTGCTCACATTTCCTTGGATTCAGCTCCATGCCCTTTCTAATGGCTTTAGTTTTGCCCCCTCCTAAACTGCCATATAATCTTAAAAACTGTTACATGTACCCTTCCTAAGGCTTTCTGTGATTGTGGGGGAAATGGGGAAGGGGAGAACAAACACAGTTTTTGTTGTATGCCTACATTAAGGTACTTTTAACAAAAAGATCTCTTAATCCTCTCTAGTTTCCTTCATTTTACTGCCTTGCCCATTGTCTGCTCACCTTTTTCTCTTTTACATCCTTAGCTTTCTGAAGAGCCAATAAGGTATCTTCTTGTTGGGATTGTTTTATTATAAAATGTACAAATAAAAATGCATTTGTTGTTTTCAGATACCTTATTTTCCTTGTTTGGAAATTCTTTGTTGTAGATTTGCTGAGATTATGTGATTGCTATAATTTACATCAGTTTAGATCCCAATAAATTCAAAATTCCTGTCCTTTTCACGGGGCTGCTATTGTCCCCTAACACCTTTCATGAAATAGGAAGCAGCACAGATAATATGGAAAAAAGCTGATGAGTGCCCTGGAAACAAAAGACAGAAACCTGCATCTTTACAGTTATACCTTGCTTTTCTCCCCAACTTACATCATTGGGCTGCGGTCAGACGTGCAGTTTGATCTGCTGTTGCCCCATGTCTAATTAATCCAGGTTATTTTGTAACAGAATACTGATCAGACTCACCCCTTTTGGCACTAGGGCTCCCAAGTCTTGCCAAACCGCAGCGGGGGATCGCATCTCTTTGCAGAATCCCTGCCGCGAGGACGGCAAGATGCGTTGCACCCGCCGTCGCCAGGACATGACGCTACGCGTCACTCTGGCAACGGGGCTGTTTGGAGCCCTGAACAACTTCGTATCATCCGCAAATTTTGCCACTTCACTGCTTACTCCCAACTCCAAATCATTAATGAATAAGTTAAAAAGCAGTGGACCAAGTACTGATCCCTGTGGTACCCCACTGCTTACCACCCTCCACTGAGATAATTGCCCATTTATACTCACTCTCTGTTTTCTATTAATTAGCCAGTTTTTGATCCATAAAAGGACTTGTTCTTTTACCCCATGATTTTTTAGCTTACTTAGGAGCCTTTGATGAGGAACTTTATCAAAAGCTTTCTGGAAGTCAAGGTAAACAATATCTATTGGATCCCCCTTGTCCACATGTTTGTTCACCCCCTCAAAGAACACTAACAGGTTAGTGAGACAAGATCTTCCCTTACAGAACCCATGCTGAATCTGTCTCAATAGGTTTTGTTCATCTATGTGCCTACTAATTCTTTCCTTAATAATGGTTTCCACCAATTTACCCGGCATCGACATCAGACTGACTGGCCTGTAATTTCCCGGATCTCCTCTGGAACCCTTTTTAAAGATGGGAGTGACATTAGCTACCTTCCAGTCCTCAGGAATGGAAGCAGATTTTAAGGAAAAATTACATATTATTGTAAGAAGATACACAAGTTCACATTTGAGTTCTTTCAGAACTCTCGGATGTATGCCATCTGGGCCTGGTGATTTATCAGTTTTTAAGTTGTCTATCAGTTTTAGGACCTCCTCTCTCATCACCTCAATCTGATTCAGGTCTTTCAACACCCCTCCCGAACTCAGCGGCTCTGGAGTGGGCAAGCACCTCTCATCTTCCACAGTGAAGACGGAGGCAAAAAATGCATTTAGCTTATCACCCTTCAGTACTCCTTTTACCCCTTGGTCATCCAAGGGCCCTACTGCCTCCCTGGCTGGTTCCCTGCTTCTAATGTATTTTAAGAAAGTTTTATTGTTGGTTTTTACGTTTTTTGCTATATGCTCCTCATATTCCCTTTTTGCCTGCCTGACCACAGATTTGAATTTTATTTGCCATAGCCTGTGTTCCGTTTTATCAGCCTCACTGTGACTAGCTTTCCGCTGCTTAAAGGAATCCTTTTTACCTTTTACAGCTTCCATTACTTTGTTTGTTAACCATGCAGGCTTTTTCCTAGACCTGTTTGTGCCTTTCCTAACCTGCGAAATATATATTTTTTTGAGCTTCTGGATCGTAGTTTTAAATAGTTTCCAAGCTTCCCCAGTGGTTTTGACCCTTTCTACTTTTCCTTTCAGTTTCCTCCCCACATGTCCCCTCATATCAGAGAAGTTACCCCTTTTAAAGTTAAAAGTGGTTGTGTCAGTCTTTTTGGCCAATTCCCTATTTATACAAATGTTGAACTCAACAACATTATGATCACTGTTCCCAAGTGGTGCAATCACTTTTACATCTCTCACCAGATCTTGAGCGTTACTTAGGACCAAATCAAGGATCACCTATCCCCTGGTAGGTTCCGTGACCATCTGCTCCATAGCACAGTCATTTAGAGTGTCTAGAAACTCAATCTCTTTTTCTCGACTAGAACACATATTGACCCAATCAATGTGTGGGTAGTTAAAATCACCTATTACGATACAGTGTTTTTGTCTAGCTGTGTATGATTCTGCGGATGTGGCCTTTGGTCGTCAAGTACTGCAGTCAGCTCTGTCTGCGGATGACAACCACCCACCCAGTTCTTAGGGGACATTGTTCTGGGAGGTCCCACAAGATGGCCCCCACCTCAGAGGGAGAACGAGCATTGGTACTCACCATGAAGGGTCCTTCTCCTCTGAGGTCTGGAGGACATCTTGGCCCTCCCAGGTCGTCATCCTTTCCGCAGACTACCGACAGCAGGTTGGCGACCAGACAGAAAGAGAGGGAGAGTAAAGGGAGATTCTAAGAGAGAGAGGACGCAAATTCAATCTACATTGCAGAAAGAGAGTTCTTGCCTTGTCCTTTTTTCTTCTCTTGTTCTTCCTGTTCCAGTTAATGTTACTCTGTTGTTTTAAGTTCTTTCTCCTGTAACATAGTTTAATGCATTGCTTTTCGGAGCACCGGAACTGAGCCAAGGGTGACTCCCACCAAAGGAAACAGGAAGAAGTTGAACTTAGTCCTGCCTCCCTGATGATGTCCTCCAGACCTCAGAGGAGAAGGCCCCTTTATGAGTACCAATGGTCATTCACTGCCACCCTCCTCCTCTAAACTTTTCAATTAACCCCTTCCCCAAAGCATAGAAAAAAGCTGAAGTACAGAGGCGTCTTTCTTTGAAAGTTCTTATAAAGAAAGTTTTGAGCAGCCCCTGTGGAAGAGAGGGAGAGAGGTGTGAATATGCAGTTATGTGCACATTGCTAACTAGTAATAAAATGGCAGCTGGAAAACAAGAGACAAGTCAGACCTGCTGAGGGCTTGGGTGTGCAACAGAGCGACCAGACAATAGGAAATCTATTTTGGAACCAGCTCAGACCAACAGGGCTGGACTTTCCCAGGCATCAAAGAAACATGCAGTAAAGGGGGGGAATGGGCCACAGACGACTGGGGCATGACAGACAGAAGGGAACAGCAACAGCAACAGATCAAACTGCACATCTGATCACAGCCATTCTTCCTTTCTCCATTTTATCTTCACAACTATAACCCTGTGTGGGAGGTTAGGCTGAGAATGGTCCAAGATCACCCAGCAAGCTTCCATAGCACAGCAGGAAGCAGGAATTTGAACCTCTGTCTCTGAGATCCTAGCCCAACTGTAACCATTCCACAATACTGGCAGGGTTGGGTGTCTTTCTCTTTAGTGAGGGGGAAAGTGCTATGATGCAGTTTGAAACCTCTCTAGAAATTCTAATGCATAGTGGGAATTTTGAAAACCTCCCCTAAGTGGCTAGAGTTGCAACCATATCACTAGACAAGCTTAGGTCTGCCAACTCTGGGTTGGGAAATTACTGGGGATTTGGGAGGGAGCCTGGGAAGGGGAGGGACAGCAGCGGGGTAGAATTCCAGAGAGGTCCACCCTCTGCTTTCTCTAGAGGAGCTGGTCTCTAGTCTGGAGATCAATTGTAATTCCTGGAGATCTCCAGACTCCAACTGGAGGTTGGCAGCCCTGCTAGAAACCCAACACTGCTGATAGGATCAGGCTGCATGGCTTCCTTGTAACTTTTTACTCTGATGCGTGCCCCTGAGATTGGTGAGACTCATCACCCCTGAAATAAATTTTTAGAACTGAAGACCCAATTCCCAGTGATCATGCCCAGGAAGGGGTTGAGGGAGGCACAGTCCCTGCTCAGTGTTTCCGTGTCCCCTTCAAAGGAGTTATACCCCTAGTTTGGAAATGAGTGGATTTTGATGTTGCAGCTTCCCCGTGGGGGCTGGGTCGAAAAGGTATTTGAGGTTTCCCTGCACAACGAAGGAAAACTGTCAGTGGCAGAACAGGCAAGGCCAACTCCGTCTATTTCCCTTTTGAAGGCAGAACAAGCCTCTGATGATCCTTTCTGGGTTGTTTTTTTTAAATTAATTCCAGACTCAGCATAATTATGTTCAGTAATAAGAGGCAAGAAATCTATCTGTGTAGTTACCTTTGAAGTGAAAAATGGGTGGGGCACAAAATCCAGATAAAAAGAGATCAGCTCCTGCAACCTAGCCACTTCCTCATGGGAGTGTGTCTGTGGTAAAACAATAAAACGAGGACAAACTATACACAATATAAAGGCAAGCAAAGCCAGCCAGCACTGGAAATCATTTGCTCAGGGAAGAAGCTTGAGGTCATTTAGCTGGAAGGGTGTTTTGTTTGTAAAGTATACCACTAGAAAATAAATTCTCTCAATAAGATCATTATGCTGTGTTGGCTACTGCCAGTTCCCATGAAATTTGACTTTGGATATGCCCATATGGCTTAGTCATCCCCTTAGTAAACATGAGACTGCTTATATCTACCTCAAATATTAGCTTTGAAGAACCTATTATTTTTATTTCTTCTTAGATGCATTAAACATTTAATATATGGATGTACTCTACAGGCACATGACATTGGCCATGACAGCAAATATGTTCACTGGCACATATGTGATGTGGCTCCAAACTCAAGAGTAATTTTACCTAGCAACAAATTTATAGGCAGAGCTGGCCTAAGAGCCATCTGAACACTGTGCTCCCCTCATCACATTGCAAGAGATTTCAGCCCATCCCTTTTGGGTGCTGTTTCTTTGCTGATCCAAGCAGCTGTTTGACTAGCTTGCATATAGTCAGGGCTGTTGAATTTATAGGCAGCCAAACTTAAAATGTTGCAGAATATACTTTAATATTTGCCTAGGAAGGACAACAGTGAGGGGGAAGGGAACATGATAGGTCTTGTAAAATTATGCATGGTTTGGGAAAATGGTGAGTTTTTTATTCCTGTGTTCTCGCGATACCAAAATTTGAGAGGTGCAATGGAGTAGATCTGGGACAGAAAAGAATATGCTGTTCCCCCAGAATGTAATTAACATGCAGGATTCACTGCTACAAATATCAATAACCTTTAGAGCTCTCTGAAAGAAGGCTAGACAAATTCATAGAGGATAAATCTATCAATGACTATTAGTTCAAAACGGCATCCAAGTGCTGATGCTGGAAGGCAATAGTGGGAGAAATGTCCTGATGTAGGCTTTCTAGAGGAATATTTTACACTTATGGGAAACAGGCTAATGAATCAGATTCACCCTTGGTCTGATTCAGCAGAACCTAAGATTTACCAGAGAGATAAAAGGTTGCTCACACAAGTTTTGGGGTTGCATAATGCTTTGCTTAGGGGCAACTGCTTTTCTCTATTAAGAGCAGTTGAACCAACCCAGATTTTACTCTAAATCCAAAGAAGCCAAAGCACTAGAAAACCAGCTCCACTGGGCAAACTGGAGCCAAACAAACCACACGGTGTTACATAAGGCTATATCACTCAATAGAAGCAGCCACAGGGTTTTATTTCAAGCCAATACTCATACTGAGATTTGAGTTATTTTTAGAGATGATTCAAAGGTCACAGCCAGATGGAAAGTTCCATTTTCCCCCCAACATAGCCTTAGTAATCAAAGTTTTAAACAAATGAGAAATCTGCCTACTGAATCTGTGAGCCTTATCAGCTCCCACTTGCTCCAAACCCTAACATCATACTTTTTTTGGGACACAATAAAATGGACAGCAAAACTGAGATGTGCAACTCAAGCATTCTTTTTAGAGAGAAGCTGCATAAAACATTTTCTTGTTCCTTGTGTATTAAGGGGTACAGCTCATAGTCAAATTCCCCTAGAAGTTGTGCTTGTTTCCTTTTAATATCAGTGATTTCAATGTTAGATTTTCACTCTCAGGATCTCAAATAGCAGTCTGTCTTCCAGTCAGCAGGCTACTTGAGTACACAGTGCAAACAACAATAAAGCTTCGGTGGCAATAATTATAAAGACCAGTCTCCAAGACGTATAGCACCCTTGTGCTGCTGTTCTTTTCTGGATAACGAGAATGCCTTCCTTTTCTTGATGCATGTTAAAATGCCAAGCCAAAGAAGAAAAGAGATTGGATTTATACCCCGCCCTTCACTACCCGAAGGTGTCTCAGAGTGGCTTACAAACTCCTTTCCCTTCCCCTCCCCACAACAGACACCCTGTGAGGTAGGTGGGGCTAAGAGAGCTCTGACAGAAACTGCACTTTTTCAAGGACAGCTCTTATCAGAACTACGGCTTGCCCAAGGTCATCCAGCCAGGTGCAAGTGGAGGAGGGGGGAATCAAACCCGGTTCTCCCAGATTAGAGTCCACACACTTAACTACTACATCAAACTGTAGATATTCTGTCTTGCATTAAACTGCCACAGTGCAATACCCTTAGAGTAGGGTTACCATTCCCCCGATGGGGGTGGGGGTTTACCCGCTTTCGGGGCTCTCAATCCACTGGCCCCAATGCAGCGGGCGGGGGAACACCACTCACACCAACGTGCCTGGCACAATGATGTCACCCAGAGGTAACATTATCATGTAGGGCACATTGTGGGGGACACAGTCTATCATAGAGTTTTTCCTCAAATGATTGAGCATTCCCCTGCAACGTGCCCAGCATGATGACGTCACTTCCAGGTGATGTTATCACAGCACGTGCGCCAAAAGCTCCAGGGGACAAAGAGGGAGCCCCCCACTGACAGCCAGGTAAGACCTGGCAAACCTACCTTAGAGGGACACTATAATGCAGGAACTCAACTGGTAAAGCAGATAATTCCTGTTATACTTAATCATGGTGCACTGAAATCACTCAGGAAGTTAAAAGAGGGAATTTGGCTACCTCAAACTTTATTCCATACATACATCCTTTCCATTTATCAAAGCTTAAATTCTATCAGATACCAGTGTCAAGTGAACCATGCACCAGTCAAATTTGCTTGCGAACACAGGATTTGTCACCCAAACACAGTTATTTACACATAAAAACAAGCCTGTGTGTTATAAACTGGAGCAGATGGCATTTGCCCAGCACTTTGAACCAAGAAAGAACATCTGTTGATCTAATCCTGTGGGCTAATTTCTCTCCTTTTCCCCATCTTTAATTCTTTTTCTTTCCAAAGAGAGTTTTTCTTGAAATTAGATATGCTGCCTGCTCCAGCCGGTTCTCCCAAGATTTCCACGCAGGCTTGCTTCTTGAACAGTATTTGGAAGTATAAGACACAACTTTGTGCAATGTGCTGATGTGACCACACACATGAAATCCAGGTAACTACATTACACAGGCAGATTATGATTGTGGTGAGGACTCTGAATCCATTGTAATGAACTGGTACTATTCATCTGAACCTCGGCAAGGTGAAGATGCAGTTGTAACAGCTGCAATTTTAGGACAAATAAGCCATCCTGTCACCACAAAGCCCACATTAGGTATTTCAAAGTTAAACAGAAGGGTCCTATACCAAATTGCACATCCATGCCTGTTATTTCTTTCCAGATTTTAATCAGTAGGACCACCAGAGTTCTGTCTGGGGCAGAAAGGACACTGATAAGTGTGTCATTTTGCCATATATTTTTATTTAGGAAACTGTACATTCCCGCCCCCCAACCTGACCCTCAGAAGTGACACCATCACTCAGGCAAATATGTATTTAGGGAGGTAGATACCACAGTCTATTCCTCCTCAGCACAACAATTCTGTGTGTATAAACAGGCTAGACTTCCACAGTACTTCCTAAACATCCCCTCCTGGTCTTAGGTGGAAGACCCTATGGGGGCATGTCACTAAAACATTTTACTGGGCTGTAATGTACATCCAGCAGCAGTAAGACTGTGCTTGACACTTGACAGTACATATAGGACATCACTCACTGTCCCAATAAGGCTAATTTAGTCCATCAGAAGAAGCAAGTATGTACTGCTTCCTTTCCTCCTCATTTTGCATCAAGCGTGCTGAATGCAGACAGGAAGATGTTTTGTGGACACAGTCGGTTCAACAGACTGACAGAAATGCCTCCAGGTGGATTAGTCTGAACTGAGCACCACACAGTCTGATTTGCAAGGAAACAAACAAATCATGATCTTAAACTGTGCACACATTTAACATGGCAAAATATGGATATTATGAATTACTAGTTCTTGAAAGTCTTAACATGAACTCCTTTCCCTTACAAGCACACACACAGGAAACAGCAACTTAACTGTTCTTTTCTGGAAAGTAAAGCAAGAAGCCATTGGACAAGACAAACACACAGCATTATTGAACAGATTCAAGCCCCCACATCATTCTTTAATGTACTAACATTGTTTGAGTTACACACCAAGCTAAAACCACTTTCTGTCTCAGGTTGCATCTGTACAAAAACCAGCTCAGCATACAGGGGAGCACACCATAAGTTTCTCTTCTCTTTAAAATTTTTATAAGCTAGAAAGAATGATCCAGTCTTTTGGAGAAGCTTTATAGGTCACTCAAGCTCAGCTCAGGCAGACTGGTGGACAGCCCACTGTTAAGTTCTGCTCCCTCCAACATGCTACTAGCCTTCCCTCCAGGGGTGCTCTTCTCCATCTCCAAGCTAGGTATGGAAATCTCATTGTCATCTAAAAATACAAAACAGAGCAATTAGCCCATCACTCTGACCTTGATTAACACATACCCACCATGCAGCACAAGACAATACACACCCACATCACCAAATCAGCATTTTGCCCTTTACATTTTATTGCAAGTGATGCTGAAATAGTTCAGTGATCAAGAGCTCCAGAAGACCCTGCAGGAACAAAACTATAACTTGTTTCCCTTTGGAAAACTCAAAGGGTTGCTTCATATGACTGCCATACTAGAGTTCAAATTCTTAGGGCAAAGGGACTCCATGAAATCATTCTAGGAAAGGTGCATAAACCAGCCTGAATGCCCAAAGCAAGATCTACTAGAATCGGCTCCTTCACACAGAGTGAATCAGCAGGATTCATGTAGTGAAAAATGCAAATGCAAAGCGGTTTAATAGACCACCACAACCTCTCCAAATACCATTCACAAGAATTAAGCATCTTAATCAAATAGGGCGTGAGTTTCCCAGAATAGAATGTTAAGCTCTTTATTCCCCAAACTGGAGTATTCACAACACAGTTATTGATGAAACAAAAACTAAAATTCCAGGAACAAATATGTGAATGAAATACGGCAAAGAATATCAGAGGGCATAAAACCAGATGCGAGGACCAAGGATGTGAGTGTGCACATGAGCATGCACACACACAAACACATCCTGCATCATGGGTCTCACGATGGATAACCAAAAATTTTATATAATGATACAGGCAGTTGCCTCATTTCCCAGTTTAACAAGAAACAGTGGCTGTATCAATCCAGTCCAGATCCTTGCAAAGTTACTTTAGGCTTTTACAGATCGGTGGGAGGACTAAAAAAAAAGATACCGAGGGAGCTGACATAAAATTGCAAGACTGAAGACGTAAAGCTCCAAACCTATGGAAAGATGTAAGGAGTAAGTCTATTACACTCAACAAAACGTATTTCTGAGTAAACATGTATACAATTAGGTTGCATAAACCATGAGGATGAACAGAAGTTACACAAAAAGTAGAAACCCTGCCTAGCATTCTTTTGGTTTCTGAGCTGTAGCAGATTCCTGCATATTTTTAAACTTCTTCACAGCCATGAGGGCCAAAAATCTACTGCATTCTGGATTCTGTGACTGACATTGCACAGGTTCTCTGAACGAAAGTTTTTCTGCATCACTGCCATGTCAGAATAGCACTCCACTGGGGGGGAAGTTGCCCTCCTCCCATTGCAAGGTAAACTAGTAAAGAAATTCCAGGCCTGAACATCCTCACATCTTTACAGAAAAGAAATAATGCTGTTCAGAAAATTCCAATTACTTCAAGTCGCACCAGCAAGTTCTGCAATTTCTGGTTCACTGAAGAGTTCATCTGAGCTGACATCAGTGAGACTGAGCTCGGAAGCTGAATCATCACACAGAAAGGATGACAAGATATCGTCATACTGTAATCCGTTCCTTTTTTCTAGGAGACAAATATCCAAAGATTAGGAAGACTACCGGCTCATTGCCCAGTTTCCCAATGACTTAACACCAGCAACATCAGCTGAAAGGCTGCCCTTCTAATTGTACAAAGCTCTAATGGCCTGGCAGCAAACTGTATGTACAACAGAAGCTTTGCACATGTTCTCCCTTTCCCTCCCCTTTCGGTTTTTATTGTTTTCATAAACATAAAAAGGTTTATACAAATGAGAGTACCTCTTCTATACAGTTTTGGAATGTGCACTACAAGCTTACTCTGTTACACATGTTAACTGGAGATTGTAGCGGTTGTCAAATCATGTACTTTGAATGCACATTCATGCCACATTTCACATTCAACCATGCCCACTCCTTCCTAGCCAAACATTATTTCCATACAGGATGTGTTCTAAGAACCAGCACTCACTCCGGCGAATGCTTTCCTCCCTCAGTGGCACAGCACACAGCTTGTCCCCAGCATGCAGACTTTTCACTTGTTCTCTTAAGCTGGTAACTGTGGATCTGATTAAAACAAATGTAAAAAACAAGAAAAACATATCAGTGATTGAGGGAAGCACGTGTGTAACAGAGAAAACACCACATCTTTTTTTTATTATGTTTACAAAATTTATACCCTGCCTTTCTGCCCTGATCAGAGCCACCAAGGTGGCTAACAGATTAAAAACATACATATTAAAAATACATCTTAAACACTATTTTAAAAACCTTAAACACTTGAAACCAAGCTAAAACACACATACAATACAATAAAAATACACGCACATAAAAACAATAATTAAAACATAAAGGCAGGAAGGAGGGATCACTGAGGGAGTGCCAGACCAAAAAAAAAAAAGTCTTCACTTGTTGGAGGAGGATGGCAACAGAAGGAGACAGGCAAGTCTATCTCGGGAGTTACAGAGTTTTGGTCCCATGAGTGAGAAGTCTCCCTCCTGGGTTGCTATCCATCTAATCTCAGGAGGCGGGGGCACCTAAAGCAGGACCTCAGGAGGTGATAATAGAATTTGGGTAGCTTCGTAAGGGAGCAGGCACTGCAGACAGACAGTCCCTAAGGGCTACTGAGAGTGGATACAGTCAACTATACATTGGACACAGTGAAAGGAGTAGTCAGTGGTACATATAGGCAGAGAAGGAATGAACAGTTTCGTGAAATCCAACTGCTGGGAATGATGAAGCAAGGAAGCCATAACTGACTGTAATGAGCCAGGACAGCTGGATTGACTTGAAGAACAGATTCAGAATGAGTTTGCAGAAGTGTTGCCTGCTTAGAATCAGTCACAATTTTGAGAGTAAGAGCAACCAGAGAGAAAAGACAGTATGAGTTCTTCTGGATTCAATCAACCATCCTACGAATGATTAACTATCAGCCCTATTAACCTGGCTGATGACAATTGTCAGAGCAAAAGACACTTCTTTACTCAAGAGATTAATTCCAAAGACCATGCCACTCCAGCCAATTTATGAGGCCAAGGCATACTGCAGGTTAAAGGCAAAAATAACAGAATTATTCTACACACAGAGAGAGAAAAAGAATATGGCGTGACAGCACTTCACCACAGTGAATAAAAAAGTGGAAAGAGAAGACTTAAGATGAGAGTTTGAGGTGACATGTCTTATGAGGAGCAGGCAATTTAACTTATTAGTCATCCCTCTTTAAGCAGCACCAAGGGCTTCAAACTTAGGGAGTGGCATGGATCATAAGTCAGAAAACTTCTGAAGTGGTAGCATATGGATCACCATCGTTTAGTGCCAATTTTAGGAAGAATAATGTAGTAACAATCCCTCTAGTGGACTGCTGATTGCTTGCCATAAAGTTGAGAGGCTATTTCCCTTGTCTCTCATGCCTTCTTCTGAATGGGACAAACCGGAGACATACAATTTAGTACACGGGTACATCTGAATCCTGAATTCAGTATAGCACTTGCATATAATTCTGACATTAGCAGCGACAGAGACATATGCCCACTGCAGCACATAAAGCATAGCACATGTTCCCCTACTTGACGTTACTGAGTTCCTGCCGGGTGCCCTGCGACTCACTCCTAGCTCTGTCCAAATTCTGAGTCTGAGTTTTATGACTGTTCATCAGATCTTCCAGCATCTAGGAACAAGAATGAACATGGACAGCCCTGGTTGTAACTCAATATTTTTTTTAAAAAAGGTTGGTTTTTTAAACAATGAATTGCATTCCCATTACATCTTTCCTCCTTAAAATCTTATGAGCAATTGTTGTTAAACAGAACTATGCAATGTCTCACTAAAATCCGCCTGAGAATGTCAGCCATCGCCTACAAGCCAACAGTAGAGTGGCAAACTACACCTGTGTCCACACTCCCACTGCCACAATGTGTTATCTTTCACAGGCCAAGGAAACACAATATAGCCCTTTAGTGGCAGTCTTCATGATAACATCCCAGCCTTAAGGAGAGCCCCAGGGACAGATGCCTTAACACAGTTGGAGAACCAGTAGTGTTTAAGAGGACGCATGTGCCCTGTCCTTTGGGGGGGTGGGGAGTGAGACAGGCAACTGCTTCAGTCTGTGCATATGTTTCCCTCACCCTCACTCATAGTCTCTCTCTTCTGGTATTAAGTCTTGCAGAAAGAGTGCACAGGGACTGAGATTGAATCACATGGTAGGACAGGTTGGAATAAACTGTTGACCCAGCAGTGCTAGAAGCTGTACACCACTACTGGTACATACACTGAATGCTTGACATCAGCTTCACCAGTTGGTCTGAGGCTCATGAAGACCACTAGGTGTGGCAATGATTGGGCAAGGCATTCCAATGCTCCTGGGGAGGGGAAAGTATAGCGGTGGGACTAGGCATGGAGATAAGGGAAGGGGGGGAGAAGTATAATGGCTTGGCCTCCTTCCAGCCCAAATGTTGCTGTTGGCGGCATTTGACATGGTCAACCACCAGTTACTGATCCACCGCCTTGTCGACACAGGAGTTCAGGGATCTGCCTTACAATGGCTTGCCTCGTTTCTTTGAGGTCAGGGACAAAGGGTGGCACTAGGGGAACAATTATCCCAAAGGCACCCACTAAACTATGGAGTGCCTCAAGGGGCAGTGCTCTCCCTGGTGCTATTTAACATCTATATGCACCCCCTTGCTCAGATTGCCTGGAGGCATGGGCTGGGTTGTCACTAATATGCAGATGACACCCAGCTCTATCTGCTGTTGGGTGGCCAGTCTGACTCTAAACCAGAAGATCTGGACCGGGCATTACAAGCCGTGGCTGGTTGGCTTAGACTGAGCCAACTGAAACTGAATCCGACGAAGATGGAGGTCCTGTGCCTGAGTCAGGGCGGTTCAAGGGTAGGGATCCCACTCCCGAACTTCGATGGGGCACTGCTGGTGCCAGCGCTGGAGGTTAGAAGCTTGGGAGTGCTCCTGGACGCCTCCCTAACAATGGAGGCCCAGGGAGTAGCCACTGCCAAGTCAGTCTTCTACCATCTTCGGCTGATCAAGCAGCTGGTTCCCTTCCTCAACTGCAACGACTTTGCAACAGTGCCACGCGATGGTCACCTCGAGACTGGACTACTGTAATGCTCTCTACATGGGGCTGCCCTTGTTGCAAATCTGGAAGCTGCAGCTAGTGCAAAATGCAGCAGCTAGGCTCCTGATGGGCCTCCCTTTGAGGGAGCACATCCAGCCTGCCCTGAAGGCACTGCACTGGCTGCCGATAGCATACCGGATTCGCTTCAAGGTGCTGGTTCTTACGTTTAAAGCCCTTTATGGCCAGGGGCTGACATACCTGAGGGACCACCTTTCCCCATATGTACCCCAGCGAGCACTGCATTCAGGGTCTCAACATCAATTGACCCTTCCGGGCCCCAAAGACATCAGACTGGCAACAATCAGAGCCAGGGCCTTCTGGGTGGCGGCTCCATACTGGTGGAACAAGCTCCCAGAAGAGATCAGGGCCCTGCGGGACCTTTTACAGTTCCGCAGGGCCTGCAAGACAAGCTCTTCCGCCAGGCTTTTGGTTAAGGAGCCACCACCATTAACACCACCAACAACAACATTATCACTAAAGATAGTTAACGATTTAAGACACAGCCCATGCCCTGATTCCACCGTTACAGTCTGTGCCTGCCACATATATATGATAAAGATTGAGAAACTGATAAGGCAGACCGGAGATTATATTAACATAACTGTTACCGCCATCTCTAAGTATTACTTTACAACTAGCTAGCACTTTATGATATCAGATTGTTTTATATGGTTTACCTATGTTATAATAGTTTTTATGTTTTATCCTTTGAAAGCCACCCTGAGCTTGATTTGGTGGGGAGGGCGGGGTATAAATCAAATAAATAAATAAAATATTAGAGAGTGGAAGTAAGAGCCACTGGGTGAGTGGAGCAGAGTGGAAGTGACCAGCTACAGACATCTGTTACAGTCATTCATATTTTAGCTGCACCATCATCCAATTCTTTGCCTTCCTCACTAGTCTTCTTATGATGCCCTTTACCCGTCTTGTCTAAACTAAATTATGAACACACTGAACAGATATTGCACCCCCCTCTGTGCTGGTCACATTGGCACTAAATTAATGGGTAGCAGCAAGCAACTTTCTGAAAACCCTACCTTACAGTACTGACTTTGAGTCCTTCTAATCTCATGAGTTGCAGACATTTGATTGAACAAATCTTCCTCTTGCCGATCTACAAGATGCAATAAGCCATGTCACTGAAAACGCACATGAAGCCATCTTATACAGAATCAGACCATTGGGATCAGTATTGTCTACTCAGACAGGTAGCGTCTCTCCAGGGTCTCAGGTAGAATTTTTCACATCATCTACTGCCTGGTCCTTTTAACTAGAGATGCTGGGGACTGAACCTGGGACCTTCTGCATGCCAAGCAGAGGCTCTTCCACTGAGCCATGGCTCCTCCCCTAAAGTTGGATCCATCTTAATCCTTTCCCCATCAGACATACAGGGCAAGGGCTCTCTAGCTCAACAGTAATGATAGAAAAGAACTGAAAGGTGCAGGAACATCACCAAGTTTTTTTTTCAGCTGCTCCATCTCTCTTCTGATGGACTCACATTCTCGCCATAGGACTTTTTTGCTAGAGAAGATGTAAAATAGAACCATTAGTAACCAGACCACAATTAGTTTCTGGAAATTCAGCTGATGTTTCAAAATGTTGTCACTATGTCCTGAAATGTAGCAAACTGACTGCCATTCTGATGCCTGGAGAGCTAACAAACTAAAAGTTAACCATACCACCTATCTGGGTCCCCACAGCCTAGAAATGAGCCGAAGAGGCAACAATTCTGCATGACTAATTTCAAGTGGCAGCTACAGCAGCAACTTTTATTTCTTGCAAAGCAATTCAGCTCAAGCAAACTGACACATACCATCGTATATTCAAACTGTGTGAGACAGGATGCCTGACTAGATGGACCACTGGTCTGATCCAGCAGGGCTCTTCTGATGATGAACTGCCTAAAAATTGTGCTTTAATTCTCCATGCCGTGCTATGAACACAGCCTTATTCCAGCAGTTTGGTTTTTCTGCAGATGGTACCAGGAAAAGCAATACCATTAGATAGCCCCCAGCCCCAATCCTCTCTAATATTAACTGTGGATTAATTCAAAAAGCTTTTGTTTGATAACCCAAATGCTAACCTCTCCAACATTTCTTGAACAAGGCCAGGGCTGGAATATAGATCAGGGGTGCAGTCACCATCTGACTGCTGAAACATCTGCTGCCGAAGACTATGGACTTCACTCTTTAGCCCTTCCTTCCTCTGTCCCAGCTCCGACTCCAAGCCACCATGGGGGCTCTGCTGCAGTCGATCCACCTCCTCTGCAATAACAAGCAGCACAGGAGGAAGATATTAGCTAGTAACATACCCCTAGATTTGTGCAATGGACAAAGGGCTAAGGGAAACAGAGCCATGGAGATATTTCCTCTCATCTGGGTACCAGTCAGTTCCCCACTTTGTCCTCGTGTTTCAGGTATTATGGGTACCATCTTACTCTCTTCTGTGTTTTACCCTGTTTCTGCCCCTTCTTGTCCAAATCATCTCTATTTCTCCTCCCCAAGTTGGTTGGCGCCCACAGACAAGGCTTTCAATCTTTGAGAAACTCATATAATGAGGAAGTCTGTCACATGTGGGCCAAGCTACATTGCTTGTTAGCAACAACAGGTGGAAAAACTGGTGCAATGCTACTGTACAGTTCTGAATTAAGATAGAGGAGGCACAATGGAGACAGTGTCCAGTTCTCATCTTTGCTAGGCTTGTGTAGGCCTTTCCCTGTATTCCTACAAAGATATAGGAAAGGTCTGCAAAAAGCAGACATTTGAAATTCTCCAAGATACTTGAGCCTTATGCTATATAGGCCTGATCTAGAGACGTTGCTTGGTAAATGCAAAGGAGGAAGCCAATTAGTATTCTGACAAGTCAAATTCTATGTTGGGATGGTAAGAGGAGAAAACCTTTGCTCCTTAGAGCTGACAACTAAACCTTTGTTTCAAAGATAGCTTGAACAGTCAAAATGAAGAAGAAAGCATTGAAGAAGAGATGGCAAAACAGGACAAATGCCTGATACCCTCTAAGTGACTGATACTGTGCTGCTGCAGTTCTTTCTCCTGTTTCAGTTGATGTACAGCTCGAGTGAGGGATTCTATGACCTAGAGAGAAATAAATGAGAACTAGAGTCATGGCAAAAGCACAGACAAGGGGGCTCTCAGGATCCAGATGAGAAACATGGAAGCTTAGAAATGCCAGTGCTAAGGACAGACAATCGGTGAGAGAATAACTTTTCTGAACACACTTATGACGAGAGTGCATCCCATCCTTCCTCCGAGGAGCGTAGGGCACTCCCCCCCAGGTTACAAATCTTAAGAGATGAGTCGTGTGGAAAGGCAGAAACTACCATGTGACACTGTCATATTCTACGCTTTGCATGTGCTTTAGCGTAATGTATTGTTATTTATACCTATTCAATTTGTTAAGTTTGAATCCTCCAAGTTTCAGACAACTCCCCACAACAGAGTAAGGTACGGGGGTGGGGGGGGGGGATGTGCACAAGCATATTAACACACACACACCAGAGCAGAGCTAACACAATCCAGTCCATGGCAGAGAAACCAAGTCATGACAGTGATGATTACCTGAGCTTGTGAATGCAGCTGCTTGCTGATGGCTGAGAGCTCCTCAGTGGCCATTCTACAGCAATGGTTAGTAGCACATGTGAAATGCAAGGGTGGTGACTCAGTCAGAACAGCACTCTCTGGGTTTAGTCTGTCCAGCAATAAATCAGCTGCATGATAGAAAGCAACAGATGCGGCAAATTGTTGAGTAGGGAAGCCATCAAGAACTGGAGTACTACTTTATCCGCCTCCACTAATGTTCACTACAAAAAACTGTAGAATGGGAGTTAATTTGCAGTTTTTAAAAGCAAAGCCTACAGTTGATTCTGTTCCCATATGAGTAACAGATTCACAGACACTGCCATTCTATAGGTTCTCATCCTGTTGAATCAGACCAAAGCCCATGCATCCAGCTCAACATTCATTTTCTTTAATGAAGGTGATGTTCTACCCCTATTGTTTGCTCCCACTATCTTCACATTCTAAAATCAGTTAAGAGTTGCCCCATCTAATTTCCAGCAACAGGGATTACAAACTGATCCTGAAACTTCAGACACTATAGGCATTAAATATATTTTCTTTATTTACAGACAATGTTCCCTCTAAGCTGTGGAGTCTTGTGAGCAAAAATTCTACTTTGTGAGCTACTGGCATTAAAGTTGTGAGTGAGCGATTTGGCTGCTGCATGATTTAGTTTGCTCTGGAGCCATCCTTCCTGAGCTAAGATAAAAATGTGTGAGCCGGAGGCTAAAAAACTGTGAGCTAGCTCACACTAACTCAGCTTAGAGGGAACACTGTTTACAGATGCTTCGGAAATAGCTAGTACAAGCCAGTCATTCTTACCTTTGGAAGTTATGCTGGCTGGGTTCAGACGATGCTATACCAGAAACAGAATAAAGATGAAATAATAATGTTTCAACCATTTCTCTTGGAAACATAGCTCTTTTTTAAAAATATATTTTTATTGGATTTTCCCCAAAAAACCAAAATCAAACACACATATATAGTTATACAAATATATACGGATGAGCATACAGCCACTTTCCCATCAATGTTTAGTACCTAAAATTTCCTTCCTAACCCTACAAGCTCATTTTCCAATCATACAATTTACTCCATTTTTTTCCAAAGGAATGTTCATCTTTCCCTTTTAGTATACATGATAATTTGTCCATTTTGGCGACATCAAGTAGTTTTTGTATAACCTCTGTCCTATCTGGAACTCTGTCCATTTTCCAGTATTTGGCATAAAGTATTCTAGCTGCCGTTATACAATGTAACAACAGATTTTTCTCTATTTTCCCATATATCTCTGGGATCATGTTAAATAGAAACAGTTCTGGTTCCAGTGGTATTATGACACCCGTAATTTCTTTTAACATTTTATCAATCACCCTCCAATAGTCCTTAGCTTTACTGCACGTCCACCACATATGGAAATACGTGCCTACATTCTGCTTGCATTTCCAACATATGTTAGAGACTGTTCTGGAGTACTTTGCTAGTCTGACTGGGTCAGACCCAGTCGGAAACATAGCTCTAAACATTGCTTCCTCTGAGGGACCCTGCAACAAACCCAAGTTAACATGCACTGAGGGAGAAAATTGAGCAAAAGGCAAAATATTTTGTTGTTGTTAATACAGCACCTTCAATGTGCATATAACAAAAACAGGCTAAGACTGTCAGCACAGACTTACAATGCCATGTTTTTCAGGTGTTACCAGCAACTGTCATTCAACAGGTCAGCTGAATAAAGATCAAAGCAAACATTCTTTAAAAATACACCTTAATGATCAATGGGCCCATGGAAAGAACTGCTTCCGAGACGATAGGCTAATTCTTTGAAATTGCTTCTGGCTGGATAGTTAAGTCAACACCCAAGCCATGTAATCATTTACAGTAGAAACCAATTGGAGCAATTTCAGCTCATTGCATAGTACAAGGGAGATGGGATATGGCAACTAGACAGGTGATGGCCCAGAAAAAAAACCTGGAAAAATTGGTGGAGGTTTTTCCCCCTCAGTGAGTCAGTCCCCAAGGGATTAAAAAAAAAATTCCAGTAGAAAAAATGGAAATGTTGGGAGAGCTGAAAAACACTAGAATGAAATGTTCTCTCTTTTGTAACAAGTGAAATGCTTTTTAAGATATGGTTTTAATTCCCCAAAACGTAAAGTATGAATAGATTTATCTACAGCATTTAAGAATGCTCATTCTCATGCATACTGTAGATATATACAACATATTTTCAAGGTTTAAATGCAACTAATTTGGTCCATAATTAATGATATAATATATACGGCAACCACTATTGAAAAGTTTAGCATTTTATGTTGCTAATCCTATCGAGACTGTTTCTGTCCATGTCCTTTAATTTGCTGCAACACTTTTGTTTTATACTTTCATTTTTTTCTCCTCTATCAGATGGCAAAAATTAAGATAGCTGTGCTAAGGTAGCATGGGTACAGTAATTTCCAGTTTCTGCCCTTAGTACTGAGAGTGTATTCATAATTATGCTTATGGAAAACTAAGGCACTTACACTATTAAATTTCATGAATATGCCAAACAGCACAATTTTATTTACTAAGTTATAAATTTAGAGTCAAGTTTAAGAAGATAAATCTTCCAAACTGACCCAAAATGATCATAATAAACAGGAGAGGAAGAGGAAGGAATATAAACATTAAATATTAATATTAGCTGATTTTTAGATGCCAAAAGGCAAGCCATTGCCAAAGGACCTTAAAGGTGGAGGCAAAATTGCAGTACACTTTATGGAAGTCAATATCAAGCATGATAGTCCAGTCCTCCACTGGAGTAACCTCTATTATTTGAGAGAATAGCATTTAAGAGTATAGGAAATGTTAAATTGAGTAAAATATGCTTAAACTGGATAAGTATTACATAGACTTCAAATTTCAAAAAAAAAACACCTGACACCCCCCTGCCCAGTTTGCAGTAAACTTACATCTTACAGCAACCAGTTTTTCCTGTCAAAAATTAAGATCAGAATCCTGACACAAATTAAGCAGGGAATAAAAGAAAGACTGTAAAGCCAGAGTTGCAATGAAGAAGGCATGGTTAAGCCACAGCAGAGATGAGATGGTAGTTATTTTGCATTTTGTACAACATCTACGTAAGATACCGTCTATTTATTCTATGAATCCCTTAAATTTGACTTCAATATCTTGTCCAGATCACCAGATAGAACCCATAACGATTGAATTTGTGCTGCTCCTGAACAGCAACTATACTGTTAATTTATATCTTTTTACCATGTTGTCAACCTACTAGGCTTTCAGGAACTACAAAAAAACAGCTAATTTTAACAATTACCACCAAAAACCTCAGCAGGTTCTTGAAAGCCACTAAAGAATAGTTCTAACTACCAGCATCTTTTTCCCTATCACAGGCAGAAGCCACAGTCAAGGTCATTTTATGTCAACATTCCCTTTATCAGCACAAAATGGGGGGGGGGAATAGAACAGGCTCAGACTTTCTTCATCTGGGAAGATAAACAAGTCAGATGTTCCTCTGCAAGTGAACTTGCCTTAACTTTGGCCATGTTGGCATCTGTTGCACTCAGTATAGAGTTTAGCTCTGTGTCCCAGTTCATCCTGTTGGCAAAAAGATGTTTTAGTAATTCACTGGTTACCAATTTGCATCCTAGGAGCACTTGGCAAACAAGTTTGACCACTAGAAAGTAGAGTGTTGAGTATGCTTACAAAAACAGTAAGCAAAAGCTTCCCTCAACCTATGTCTCACAAGCATCTTGCATAGCTCCGTTGTATGTAGTTTTAAGCCCAGAATCAGAATCCTGCAAAACACACACCATAAAGCACAACTCTCAAAGAACACTGCTTCAGAAAGGCCAGACAGGTATGAATCTGTTAATGAGGGGCTGTGGCTCTCCAGAGCATCAGAGAAAGGCGTTTCCTAGCTCCTGCTGCCTTCATTTGAAGATGCCAGGCACTGAACCTGGGATCTTCTGCACGCTAAAAGCAGAACACCACAATTTCCCAAGTAGTGTGTATTGCAGGTGCGCCCAGCTTTACCTTCATCTATACACCCCCACAATCCATCAAGACCGTGGCTACTGGCAATTCTTCTAAAACCTCCTTAGCAGGGCAGCGACACGCCCTAGAGTGCTTTGTGACAGGTCAGAAACTCTTCACTTGCTTTGTGAATGCAGCCCCCGGCCAGCCCCCGGTGCTCGCAGCTCAGAGGGCTCATACCGCCAACTCCTTCACTAGGGGGTTTAAACAGGGGCGAAGGTCCCCCCTCCCTCCGGCAGCCTCGTCTATAGCGGCGGAAGCTCAACCCAAAAACAAACGAAACCTAACGAGGGGCGAGGAAGGGGGAAAAGATACGTCGGCCTAGCCCAAGAAAGGCCTCACACGACCTGATTGTTTCCGCCATAGAGATTCAAACGCGCAGTCCGACAGCCATTCAAAGCACGAGGCAAATGCCACCTTCCGCTACGCCGCAAAGACTTCTGGCGGTGGAAGTCCTAAAGGCATACTAATCCTTACAAACAGGATCCTTTATGGAACTACATTTCCCAATAGATATTACGCCACAGAACCCGTGGAACTTTGGGAGAAATTGAAAAGCAAGCCTCCCTTCATGCATCACGCTCAGCAATTAGCGATCAATCGGTAAGAGTTTTTTTTAATAAAAAAAACATGGCTGAAGGGCGCGTGCCTTTCATGAAGGTACGGCTCTGGCGTGCCTCACAGGAAACTACGTTACCCATGGTGCTCAGCGCCTAGGTGCCATGGAGAAGCGTGTGGCGCATCTGGAGAAGAGGATCAGTAGCCCCTTGGAGCGTCTGGGGTTTGAGATTCATCCTTTCAAGGTACCGCAGGTGTAGCGGGGTGTCTGTTTCTTGGCACCATAAGTCTAACCAGAGAGATGGTGTCATTATCAGTGCACCGAAGCAATTTCTTGATATGATTTGACCTAACACTGATCTCTGTGATTTTATGTATTTTGATTACATTATTCTGCTGATCCACGTGGTGCCACGTTGAGACATGATATCAAATCTGCTTTGTGCTATGATGAGTTCAGATTACTACTGTTACATTATTACTTCTCTTCCTCGTACAACACCATATTCCCCCCTGAAATTCCTGCCATTATTATTTACTAGCTTAATACATTACTACTTAAACTGTGTGGCTTTGTTACACTCAGGGTATTTAGAAACCCACACATAGGTTAGTATATTGTTTTTCTTCTGCAGGCTTAAAGAGCAGCCCTAAACAGGTATACTCATAATTGGATTCAGGTTTATCAAATGGGGCATACTTCCAGGAACCTGTTCTTAGGCCTGTACTGTATGTCACACAACATTCACATGTGTCACAAATGACATAAGCATTGACATGCACTTTCTAGTGTTGCTTATGAAAATGATGTGTTACATAAGGTAAGTGCTATGTCACACTGTTGCTAATAGTAACATCATTTTGTTTCACCATAACTTTGCTACTGCAAAACAATCATGCAGCCATAGTTTTTGATGTGTAGGAATAGTGATTCTTAATAGACGAAAGCTTCACAAAGTTACAAAAAGGCACTATTTGAACATATTCAGCTTGGTCTTGTGATCAAACGTGATCCGTACCAGATTCTTGTTCCAAATAACTACAAAGGCTATAACAATATTTTTCTTCTTTTTCATTTTGCTTGTTGGGATCTGGATACATGGGTTGCTGTTTTTTTTAAAATGATAAAAGGAACACCTCTGGCTTTAAGCAAGGGATTCACTCAGTGGTTATTGCTAGGCAAACACAGTATTCCAGTCTTCGAATTTCTGTGAGTGGAAAGGCAGGGGGAGGGGGCTTGGCCTTTTCCAGGCCTGTTTTGGCCGTTGAGGGCCAGACCTGATTGCCAGCTCCAAGTTGGGAAATTCCTGGAGATTTTGTGGTGGAGTCTGAGGAGGGCAGGGTCTGAGGAGGGCAGGGTTTGTGGAGGGTAGAGGCCTCAGTCAGATATAGCACCATTTTCTCCAGGGGGATGGTTGTCTTGAGTTCAGTTATAATTCTGGAAGATCTCCATGTCCCACCTGGAGAACAGCAAGCCACACCTGGGAGCAAACTCTGGGTGACTTGATACTAACTGACTTGCATGACTCAGGCCCCTGCCACACGGCAGGGAATCCACGAGGTAAAGCGCGGCTAAATAGAGCCGCTCCAACGTTGAGACGCTGCGGCGGGATCCCACGGATCCCCTGGCCGCAGCGCCTCTCCTCCCCGGCAAGAGCAGACGCCGGGGAGGACGAGCCAGATGGGAGGGGGAGGCTGCCGAACTGCGCATGCCCGAGCATGCGCAGTACGGCCGGGGGCCGGGATGCGGCGGCGCAAGGACGCGCCGCCGATCCCACGGCCGGCTTGGGGCGCCCCAGACGATTGCTACCACCTAGATAGGTGGTTCGTCTTTGCAGCGGGGTATTGCCATTTGGGCCGGATCAGGGACGGAGACGGCACGCTCACCAGATGTTGAGGTGAGATCGCGCCTGTTTGCTCCGCTGTGGAAGTTCACTGGGTGATTGTGGACCAGTCACATACTTTCAGCCTGACTTATGTCACCGGGTTGTGTGGGTAAAAAGGAAGAGTATAATGTGAGCTGCTTTGGTCCCCATTGTGGAGAAAGGTGGGGTATATATTGAGTATAGCCGAAGATGGTAGATAGATAAAAGATAGATTGGTGAATGACTAAGAAGGAGAGGATGAGGTAGGGAA